TGCGGGTGCTCTGTGACACAGGTGAGTGTGCAGGTGCTCTGTGACACAGGTGAGTGTGCAGCTCTGTGACACAGGTGAGCGTGCGAGTGCAGCTCTGTGGCACAGGTGAGTGTATGGGTGCTCTGTGACACAGGTGAGTGTGCGGGTGCTCTGTGACACAGGTGAGTGTGCGGGTGCAGCTCTGTGACACAGGTGAGTGTGCGGGTGCTCTGTGACACAGGTGAGCGTGCAGGTGTTCTGTGACAGGTGAGTGTGCGGGTGCAGCTCTGTGACACAGGTGAGTGTGCAGGTGCTCTGTGACACAGGTGAGTGTGCGGGTGCTCTGTGGGCACAGGTGAGTGTGCGGGTGCTCTATGACACAGGTGAGCGTGCGGGTGCTCTGTGACAGGTGAGTGTGCAGGTGCTCTGTGACACAGGTGAGTGTATGGGTGCTCTGTGACACAGGTGAGCGTGCGGGTGCTCTGTGACACAGGTGAGCGTGCGGGTGCTCTGTGAAACAGGTGAGCGTGTGGGTGCTCTGTGACACAGGTGAGCGTGCAGGTGCTCTGTGACAGGTGAGCGTGCGGGTGCTCTGTGACACAGGTGAGCGTGCAGGTGCTCTGTGACACAGGTGAGTGTGCAGGTGCTCTGTGACACAGGTGAGTGTGCGGGTGCTCTGTGACACAGGTGAGTGTGCGGGTGCAGCTCTGTGACACAGGTGAGTGTGCGGGTGCTCTGTGGGCACAGGTGAGTGTGCGGGTGCTCTGTGACACAGGTGAGTGTGTGGTGCTCTGTGACACAGGTGAGTGTGCGGGTGCTCTGTGACACAGGTGAGCGTGCAAGTGCTCTGTGACAGGTGAGTGTGCGGGTGCAGCTCTGTGACACAGGTGAGTGTGCTGGTGCTCTGTGACACAGGTGAGTGTGCGGGTGCTCTGTGGGCACAGGTGAGTGTGCGGGTGCTCTATGACACAGGTGAGCGTGCGGGTGCTCTGTGACAGGTGAGTGTGCAGGTGCTCTGTGACACAGGTGAGTGTATGGGTGCTCTGTGACACAGGTGAGCGTGCGGGTGCTCTGTGACACAGGTGAGCGTGCGGGTGCTCTGTGAAACAGGTGAGCGTGCGGGTGCTCTGTGACACAGGTGAGCGTGCAGGTGCTCTGTGACACAGGTGAGCGTGCGGGTGCTCTGTGACACAGGTGAGCGTGCAGGTGCTCTGTGACACAGGTGAGTGTGCAGGTGCTCTGTGACACAGGTGAGTTTGCGGGTGCTCTGTGGCACAGGTGAGTGTGCGGGTGCTCTGTGACACAGGTGAGCGTGCGGGTGCTCTGTGACACAGGTGAGTGTGCAGGTGCTCTGTGGGCACAGGTGAGTGTGCAGGTGCTCTGTGACACAGGTGAGTGTGCGGGTGCAGCTCTGTGGCACAGGTGAGTGTGCGGGTGCTCTGTGACACAGGTGAGTGTGCAGGTACTCTGTGACACAGGTGAGCGTGCGGGTGCAGCTCTGTGACACAGGTGAGTGTGCAGGTACTCTGTGACACAGGTGAGTGTGCGGGTGCAGCTCTGTGACACAGGTGAGTGTGCGGGTGCTCTGTGGGCACAGGTGAGTGTGCAGGTGCTCTGTGACACAGGTGAGCGTGCAGGTGCTCTGTGACACAGGTGAGCGTGCAGATGCTCTGTGACAGGTGAGTGTGCGGGTGCAGCTCTGTGACACAGGTGAGTGTGCGGGTGCTCTGTGACACAGGTGAGTGTGCAGGTGCTCTGTGACACAGGTGAGTGTGCAGGTACTCTGTGACACAGGTGAGTGTGCAGCTCTGTGACACAGGTGAGCGTGCGAGTGCAGCTCTGTGGCACAGGTGAGTGTATGGGTGCTCTGTGACACAGGTGAGTGTGCGGGTGCTCTGTGACACAGGTGAGTGTGCGGGTGCAGCTCTGTGACACAGGTGAGTGTGCGGGTGCTCTGTGACACAGGTGAGCGTGCAGGTGCTCTGTGACAGGTGAGTGTGCGGGTGCAGCTCTGTGACACAGGTGAGTGTGCAGGTGCTCTGTGACACAGGTGAGTGTGCGGGTGCTCTGTGGGCACAGGTGAGTGTGCGGGTGCTCTATGACACAGGTGAGCGTGCGGGTGCTCTGTGACAGGTGAGTGTGCAGGTGCTCTGTGACACAGGTGAGTGTATGGGTGCTCTGTGACACAGGTGAGCGTGCGGGTGCTCTGTGACACAGGTGAGCGTGCGGGTGCTCTGTGAAACAGGTGAGCGTGCGGGTGCTCTGTGACACAGGTGAGCGTGCAGGTGCTCTGTGACACAGGTGAGTGTGCGGGTGCTCTGTGACACAGGTGAGCGTGCAGGTGCTCTGTGACACAGGTGAGTGTGCAGGTGCTCTGTGACACAGGTGAGTGTGCGGGTGCTCTGTGACACAGGTGAGTGTGCGGGTGCAGCTCTGTGACACAGGTGAGTGTGCGGGTGCTCTGTGACACTGGTGAGTGTGCGGGTGCTCTGTGGGCACAGGTGAGTGTGTGGTGCTCTGTGACACAGGTGAGTGTGCGGGTGCTCTGTGACACAGGTGAGCGTGCAAGTGCTCTGTGACAGGTGAGTGTGCGGGTGCAGCTCTGTGACACAGGTGAGTGTGCTGGTGCTCTGTGACACAGGTGAGTGTGCGGGTGCTCTGTGGGCACAGGTGAGTGTGCGGGTGCTCTATGACACAGGTGAGCGTGCGGGTGCTCTGTGACAGGTGAGTGTGCAGGTGCTCTGTGACACAGGTGAGTGTATGGGTGCTCTGTGACACAGGTGAGCGTGCGGGTGCTCTGTGACACAGGTGAGCGTGCGGGTGCTCTGTGAAACAGGTGAGCGTGCGGGTGCTCTGTGACACAGGTGAGCGTGCAGGTGCTCTGTGACACAGGTGAGTGTGCGGGTGCTCTGTGACACAGGTGAGCGTGCAGGTGCTCTGTGACACAGGTGAGTGTGCAGGTGCTCTGTGACACAGGTGAGTGTGCGGGTGCTCTGTGGCACAGGTGAGTGTGCGGGTGCTCTGTGACACTGGTGAGTGTGCGGGTGCTCTGTGGGCACAGGTGAGTGTGCGGGTGCTCTGTGACACAGGTGAGTGTGCGGGTGCTCTGTGACACAGGTGAGCGTGCAGGTGCTCTGTGACAGGTGAGCGTGCAGATGCTCTGTGACACAGGTGAGCGTGCGGGTGCTCTGTGACAGGTGAGTGTGCAGGTGCTCTGTGACAGGTGAGTGTGCGGGTGCTCTGTGACACAGGTGAGCGTGCAGGAGCTCTGTGGGCACAGGTGAGCGTGCGGGTGCTCTGTGACACAGGTGAGCGTGCGAGTGCAGCTCTGTGGCACAGGTGAGTGTGCGGGTGCTCTGATGACACAGGTGAGCGTGCAGGTGCTCTGTGACACAGGTGAGCGTGCAGGTGCTCTGTGACACAGGTGAGCGTGCGGGTGCTCTGTGGGCACAGGTGAGCGTGCGGGTGCTCTGTGGGCACAGGTGAGCGTGCGGGTGCTCTGTGGCCACAGGTGAGTGTGCAGGTGCTCTGTGACACAGGTGAGCGTGCAGGTGCTCTGTGACACAGGTGAGCGTGCAGGTGCTCTGTGACACAGGTGAGTGTGCAGCTCTGTGACACAGGTGAGTGTGCGAGTGCAGCTCTGTGGCACAGGTGAGCGTGCGGGTGCTCTGTGAAGCAGGTGAGCGTGCGGGTGCTCTGTGACACAGGTGAGCGTGCGGGTGCTCTGTGGCCACAGGTGAGTGTGCAGGTGCTCTGTGACACAGGTGAGCGTGCAGGTGCTCTGTGACACAGGTGAGCGTGCAGGTGCTCTGTGACACAGGTGAGTGTGCAGCTCTGTGACACAGGTGAGTGTGCGAGTGCAGCTCTGTGGCACAGGTGAGCGTGTGGGTGCTCTGTGACACAGGTGAGTGTGTGGGTGCTCTGTGGGCACAGGTGAGCGTGCGGGTGCTCTGTGACACAGGTGAGCGTGCGGGTGCTCTGTGAAGCAGGTGAGCGTGCGGGTGCTCTGTGACACAGGTGAGTGTGCAGGTGCTCTGTGACACAGGTGAGTGTGCGGGTGCTCTGTGACACAGGTGAGTGTGCAGGTACTCTGTGACACAGGTGAGTGTGCAGCTCTGTGACACAGGTGAGCGTGCGAGTGCAGCTCTGTGGCACAGGTGAGCGTGTGGGTGCTCTGTGACACAGGTGAGTGTGCGGGTGCTCTGTGACACAGGTGAGTGTGCGGGTGCTCTGTGACACAGGTGAGTGTGCAGGAGCTCTGTGGGCACAGGTGAGTGTGCAGGTGCTCTGTGACACAGGTGAGTGTGCGGGTGCTCTGTGACACAGGTGAGCGTGCAGGAGCTCTGTGGGCACAGGTGAGTGTGCAGGTGCTCTGTGACACAGGTGAGTGTGCGGGTGCTCTGTGACACAGGTGAGTGTGCAGGTGCTCTGTGGCACAGGTGAGTGTGCGAGTGCAGCTCTGTGACACAGGTGAGTGTGCGGGTGCTCTGTGACACAGGTGAGTGTGTGGTGCTCTGTGACACAGGTGAGTGTGCAGGTGCTCTGTGACACAGGTGAGTGTGCAGGTGCTCTGTGGCACAGGTGAGTGTGCGAGTGCAGCTCTGTGACACAGGTGAGTGTGCGGGTGCTCTGTGACACAGGTGAGTGTGCGGGTGCAGCTCTGTGACACAGGTGAGTGTGCAGGTGCTCTGTGACACGGGTGAGTGTGCAGGTGCTCTGTGACACAGGTGAGCGTGCGGGTGCTCTGTGACACAGGTGAGCGTGTGGGTGCTCTGTGGCACAGGTGAGCATGTGGGTGCTCTGTGACACAGGTGTGTGCCCCCAGGGACCGTCTCGTGTGCCTTTCATGCTGCTCTTACAGAGGCTCCCAAGCCTCCGCAGCACCCAAAGGGCAGCTGCAGGCACGCCCACCCAGCACCCACACCCCGTGGCCTCAAGTGCAGGCAGCTGCCGGCCCTCCCCTCCCCTCCCCCAATCCCATCAGGGCCCTGCCCACCCCCACGCAGGCTCAGACCGCGGTCTCAGGACTCAGAAGAAACTTTATTCTCCACAGCAGAGGCCCTGGGAGCAGGCTGCTTGGCTCTGCCTGCCCGGCCTCCCCTCCCCGCAGGGACCCAGGAGTCCCAGCCCCCTGCCCTCACCCCGGGGCCTCCTGCCGGGGCGCAGGGTGTACTGTGATGCCCGCTGCCTGGGACGTGCAGCTGTGGACGGACAAAGAAGGCTCACGTCCTGGGCGGGCCAGAGCCGCGACCACAGAGGTGGGAGATGGGCTCCGACACCCGGAACGCCCGGAACGTCGGGGCCTCAGGGCCCAGCCCAGAGCAGGGCAGGCCCCAGGCTGAGGAGGAGCCCCCCGGCCAGGGCCCAGGGGCTGCACCGTGCCCCGCCGGCCGCGTTGCACAAGTCCTTCTCACAGCACTCCACGTCGACCTTCAAGATCCCAGAGTTAATGAAGCCCATCAGGTAGTCTGAGAAAAAGTGCCGCTTCACGAAGCTGCAGGAGGAGGCGCACATCTTGTTCACGGAGTGGTCCTGCCTGCCTGGGGAGGGCGCCCGCAGCTGCAGCTCCACTCAAGGCCCCGGGTGAGCCAGAGCCCTCGACCAGGACCCCGGCCAGCCCAGGACCCCCGACCAGGACCCCTGCCAGCCCAGGACACACACACAGGACTCCAGCCAGCCCAGGACACACACACAGGACCCCGGCCAGCTCAGGACCCCCACCTAGGACCCCCTGCCAGCCCAGGACACACACACAGGACCCCGGCCAGCCCAGGACACCTTGTTCACGGAGTGGTCCTGCCTGCCTGGGGAGGGCGCCCACAGCTACAGCTCCACTCGAGGCCCCGGGTGAGCCAGGGCCCCCAGCTCCGGACCCCGGCCAGCCCAGGACACACACACAGGACCCCGGCCAGCCCAGGACACACACAGGACCCCAGCCAGCCCAGGACATACACACAGGACCCCGGCCAGCCCAGGACACACACACAGGACCCCGGCCAGCCCAGGACACACACACAGGACCCCGGCCAGCCCAGAACATACACACAGACCCCGGCCAGCCCAGAACATACACATAGGACCCCCTGCCAGCCCAGGACACCCTGTTAACGGAGTGGTCCTTCCTGCCTGGGGGAGGGCGCCCGCACCTGGAGCTCCACTCGAGGCCCCAGGTGAGCCCAGGACCCCCAGCTCCGGACCCTGGCCAGCCCAGGACACACACACAGGACCCCAGCCAGCCCAGGACACCTTGTTCACGGAGTGGTCCTTCCTGCCTGGGGGAGGGCGCCCACACCTGGAGCTCCACTAAGGCCCCAGGTGAGCCCAGGACCCCTGACCAGGACCCCGGCCAGCTCAGGACCCCCACCTAGGACCCCCTGCCAGTCCAGGACCTCCACCTAGGACCCCGGCCAGCTCAGGACCCCCACCTAGGACCCCCTGCCAGCCCAGGACACCTTGTTCACGGAGTGGTCCTTCCTGCCTGGGGGAGGGTGCCCGCACCTGGAGCTTCACTCGAGGCCTCCAACTGAGCCAGGGCTCCCAGCTCCGGACCCCGGCCAACCCAGGACCCCCGACCAGGACCCCGGCCAGCTCAGGACCCCTACCTAGGACCCCCTGCCAGCCCAGGACACACACACAAGACCCCCTGCCAGCCCAGGACCCCAACCAGCCCATGAACCCCAGCCAGTCCACAAACCCAGGCCAGTCCAGGACCCCCACCTAGGACCCCCTCCCTGCCAGCCCAGGACACACACACGAGAAGTGTAGCCAGTCAAGGACCCCTGTCCAGGACACCTACCCAAGAACCCCTGCCAGTGTGGGACCCCTGTCAGTCCAGGACCCCGCCCCCCAGGACCCCTAAGCCTGCTCAGAATCCCCACCCAGGAACCCATGCCAGCCCAGGACACGTGCGCAGGAACCCTGGCCAGTTCAAGACCCTCGCCTAGGACTGCCAGCCAGTCCAGGACCCCTGGCAAGCCCAGAACCCCCACCCAGGAACCCAGCCAGCTCAGGACCTCCAGGTCAGCTCAAGACCCCATCCAGCCCAGGACCCCCGAAAATCAGAGCCAAGGCTCTCCATCCACCCACGCTCTCTCAACTGCACAGGGCAGGCCACCAAGCAGCCAGGCCAAGCAAGGGACAAGCCAAGGAGGGACAAGCCGGGCAGTGCCCTGTCCCAGCCCCCCACCCAGGGCCCCACTTACTGCTGCTGGGGTCCGTGATGCGGACGCTGGCGCACACGGTGTCCGACGGCTGGCACTGCTTCGGGGTGCAATGGCTGGAGTTGGTGGTCAGGGTGCAGTCCTGGCACCACAGGCCCTGAGCTGGGCAGGCATGGGTGAAGGATGACCAGGCCGGCCAGCCCCTACCCCCGCCCCTCCCCACCTGTGGCAGATGCTCCAGGACAGCCTTGCCCCTCCCCCAGGGGGCTCAGGCTTCCGGAGTCAGGAGCCAGTAGCGCAGGATCACCCCTTCTGGGAGACCCAGGTACACTCCCTACCCTACAGGGCAGGGAGGAGGACGACCCCTCCCTGGACGCAAAGGCAGCTGGCCACACGAGTCTCCCACCTGCCCTGCCTCCTGCACGCTCCCACCCGGCCTCGCACACCCCCGGGGCTGAAGGGTTCCACGCCAGGAAGGACTTGGCTCTGAAAGGCGCTGGGGGAGAACCGCACAGCTGGGGCGGAGCGAGCGAGGGCCGGCCGGGGTCCGAAGGGGTCGCAGTGGTCCGCGAGGCGTGCGGAACCGTCGGAAGATGGCAGCCCGGCGCCCAACTCCCGCGCTCCCGGAGCGCCGGACACCTGCCTGGCCCCGCGGCCCGACTCACCGGGCGCCGAGCACAGCAGCGCGGCCAGCAGCGCCAGGCCGAGGCCCCTCATGGCTGCAGGCAACATGCTCCGGACAGGCCTAGGGGAGGCGCGGGGGCTGCGGGCAGGGGTCCTCTGGGGCGCAGGCCTGGCAGGGAAACGCCTCGGTCAGGAGACCAGCCCAACCCAAGGACCCTCCCCCTTCTCCGGCCTCAGAACGCACCCCGCCGGCGGAATCCGAGGCTGGGGGCGGCCCGGGGCGCGCAAAGCCCCGCGCCCGGCCCCTCCCCCGCCCCGGCATCCACCATCGCGCACCGCCGCCGCGGAGAAGGCGCCCGAGCTGCCGGGCGGTGGCAGCTCCGAGGCCCCCAGCGCGCACCGGGCACCTGTGGGGGCATCGGGAGTGGGAGGTGCGTCCGGACCCGAGGGGCAGGACGAGGGCGGCGCGGACCGCACCTGCCGATGGGGGAGGGGCGGCACCAGGTCCCCACTCCCACCCCTGGGCTGGGGGGCCGGGAACCCAGCGCCAAGCCCCCTCCCGCGGCCCGCCGCGCGCGCGCCAGGGCGCTCACCGCGGGTCAGGGCGTGGAGTGCGGAGCGCGGGGTCGGGGGGCGCACTCACATCCCTGGGGTGTCCGCACTCCGGGCTCGGGCGGCGGCGCGGCGCGGGGAGCGGTGCCCTTCGGTCTCCCTGCGGACCGGAACCCGCGCGCAGTCTTTCGGGGGCGCAGCCGCAGACGCGGACCCCGCGCGGGGGGCGGGGCGGCGCCGGGGCGGGGGCCGCGCGGGGGCGTGGGCGGCGGGAAGCGCCTGGGCGGGGGCGCTCGGGGCTCGCGGCCCAGCCGCAGGTCACCGCCCCGGGCCCGCCGCGCCCTTCCCCACCGCCTCCTCCCCCACCCGGGCACGGGCAGCGTCCCCCCGCCTCGCTTTGGCCGAGACCCGCCCCCCCCCCCCCCCCCCGCCCCGTTGGAGCCGCTTGGAAGAGCGTTCACTGCGCGAGGAGGCGAATTGCACAAAGGCTCGGAGGGAGGCGGGGGAGCCGCAGACCCGGCTCGCGCGCCCCAGCCTCGTCTCCAGCTCAGGCTCTGCTCGGCGCCCACTGTGACCGCCACCCCTGCAGCGCCGGCCCGGGACGCGCCCCCGAGAGGGCGGGACCCCGAGCCGGGCGGCGCCCTCGGTCCCCGCGCCCGCCCGTCGGTGTCGCGGCTGTCCCGGGTCTCAGGAGACAGAAGACACGTGCCCTCCTGAGCCCGGCCTGAGACCAGGTCCTCCCTGAGCTGCGAGGGCCCTGCTGCCCCGGGCGCTCCGCAAACGTGGTGCGGGGAGGTGGGGGGTGAGCTCCCAGCCCAGGGGACACACAGAGACCAGGGACACAGAGACGGGGGGGGGGGGACGACACAGTGACCAGAGGGACACACACGGACCAGGGGACACAGACTGGGGACACGGAGACCCGGGCTGTGACCAGGGACACTCAGTGCTGGGGTGGCATAGCAGTGCTGGAGGCCCTGTGCCCTCACTGCCCGGGAGCGGTCACTGCCAAGGCCGGAGTGGACTGCAGAGTGCGGGAGGCCTGGCCTGGGGGGCGGGCGGAGGAGGCGCTGGCGCGGCTCCTGCACAGTTCCCAAAGTTGTGGAGGCTGTGGGAGAAGGATCTTAGTCCACCAGCGACCAAGGCAGTGAGACAGTGGAGCCAAAGCCTGCAGGTGCCGGCCAGCGCTGCGCCATGTGGGGCTGGGGGCTGGGTGCGGGCGTCCCGCCTGGCAGAGTCTGTGCAGGGCCTGGGAGCAGGCAGAGGCCACGGAGCACCGCCCTGGTGGGGCCTGCAAGGAACCCTGGGAGAGGAGTACTGCGTGACCGTGACTGTAGCAGTGACCCAGGCCAGGGGGCGGAGGTCTGTGCCTGGAGGCCTTGGTAGGGGCTGGGGCTGGGGGGAGTCGGCTCCCAGACCCCCGCGCCCCCCCCCCGCAGGTTGCTGAGCCCCCTCCTCGCCTCAGGGAGCTGCAGTGGAGGACTGGGGGAGCTCTGGCAGACCCTACCCGGCTGTGGGGAGGGGGCCCAGGCCAGCAGCAGCCGGAGCACCCAGCAGAGTGAGCCAGGCGACTCCAGTGAGAGTGCGAAATAAAAAGTGGCAAAACACCCAGAAAACAAGCCTCGGGATAAGACGGACACCGCTGGATTTAAATCTTTAACATTTTGAAATTGGAGGCATCAAATACAGACGTATCCTTAGTTACACAGGGCCTCGAGTGAGGAGGTCAAAGAAACCCGGAAAGAACCGAGCCCAGTGAAAGAAGCCGCCGCACCTGCACACGCGTGTGTGTGTGTGAGTTCCCGACGCTGGAGAAAGGCAGACGGGAAGTTGGGCCAAGGATGAGAGGTCACGCGTGTTGGCACTGGCGTCTGGGCTAGCGCTGGGACCCCCACCCCATGACCAAGTGCGGGGTTCAAGTCCTGGTTCTGCCTCCGACTCCAGCTTCCTGGCAGGCAGCAGGTGCGTGGGTCCCTGCCGCCCGCAGAGGGCCTCCGGCTAAGCCTGACCCAGCCCTGGCCTAAGTTAGAGACCCAGCAGACGGAGCGCTCTGAGCCGTCAGCCTCCGGAATCAGCACACTGTGCACACTGTGTCTTCCGTGATTGGTGACCATTTACACAAGGAAAATGTTCTAAAAGTAGACAGGTGTGGCTGCACGCTTCGTGAATAACCTAAACAGCACTGTGCGCCTTCGGTACCGTGAACTCCACCTTGGGAACGCCGCTGTGCGCGCAGACTCGGCTTAGCAGCTGAACAGAGGCTCCGTTAGCGGACAGGAAGTCGGCGGAAGTCACCGAGGGGCAGCTGGAGGGGCAGAGGTGGGACACCCGGGAGAACTTCCAAAAGCAGAGAGGGTGGCTTGCGGAGAGCGCGCGGCCTCCCCGGGACCCCGAGAGGACGCGGCGCCGGCGCCTTCGAGGGGCTTGGAGAAGTCAGCTGCGAGGCTTACACGCTCTTCTCCAAACGTGAGTGCAAAGCAAGCCGTCCAGGTAACGCTTAGAAAACAACTCGGGGGCAGGAAACCCAAGAGCCTACTTTAAAACCACAGGGCGGGCACTTAGCTGGCAGCTGAGACGCCCCTGTCCCACCGGGGACACCCGGGCTTCATGGCTGGCTGTGGCCCCTGACTCCAGCTTCCGGCCAGTGTGGATCCCGGCAGTGATGGCACAGGGACGGAGACCTGGGTGAACCACAGGATGGGGGATCTGAAGTGTGCCTCTCTCTCTCTCTCTCTCTCTCTCTCTCTCCCCCCTCCCTCCCTCCCCTGCCTTCCCCTGCCCTCCCCCTCTCATGAATAAGTAGGCAAAAGACCTGCAAAGACCTTTCTCAGAACACGTCCAAAGGGTCAACAGGTCGTGAGGAACAAGGCCACATCACAGCCACGGGGACAGTGCGGCCACGGTGCAGCCACGGGGACGGTGCAGCCGTGATGCAGCCACGGGTCTCCGTGCACCTGTTCCAGGGGCTGCCACTAGGAAGATGAGACAACGGGTGCTGCTGGGGTACAGGGCAGAGACCCCGGGCACTGCCAGTGGCCGTGTCCACTAGTGGAGCCGTTCTGGAAACCAAGGGCAGAGTTAGCGCGTGTGACCGAGTGCCGTGTGCACACGCGTGAGCATGGGCACAGACATACCACCACCGTGTGCACACACATGAGCGTGGGCACAGGCACGCCACCACCGGGTGCCCATCAGTGGGTGAGCAGGTAAAGGAAAGGTGGTAGGCAGATGACAAGATACTGCCCGGCCAGGGGCAGGATGCAGCCCCAAGTTCAGCCAGGCCCCTGGGGGTTTTGTGGGGCCTAAGCAGGGCCCAGGGCAGCCACAGGAGAGGCTGGGGAGGGGGAGGGGGCCCCAGGGCCCAGGGCAGTGACAGGAGAGGCTGGGGGAGGGGGAGGGGGCCCCAGGGCCCAGGGCAGTGACAGGAGAGGCTGGGGGAGGGGGAGGGGGCCCCAGGACTCAGGGCTCTAACCCTGACCCTAACCCTTGGCAAGCACCACTAATAATAATGTAATGCCTATTTCAAAGTTGCTAAGAGCAGATTTTAAAGTTTTATTTATTTGTCTTATTTGAAAGGCAGGCAAACAGAGACAGAGACCGAGGACTCTCCGCTGGCTCACTCTCCACATGGCCACAGCAGCCAGGGCGGGGCCGGGCTGCAGCCAGGAGCCTGGAGCCCAGCCCTGGTCTCCCATGTGGGTGCCAGGCCCCGCCTGCTTGAGCCATCACCTGCACTGCCCAGGAAGCTGGAACTTGAGCCCAGGCACGCTGACGTGGGAGGACTTCGAGCCAGCCAGCATCTCTTGCTTTGAAGATGTTTAAGTTTTTGTTTAGTTATCTGTTTATCTGTGTATGCATTCGAAAGGCGGCTGGGGCAGCGGGTGTGTGTGTGTGTGAGACCTTCCATCTGGTTCACTCCGCAAGATGGCTGCACAGCCAGGGCTGGGCCAGACCAAACCCAGGAGCCGGGAGCTCCATCTGGGGCCCCACGTGGGCGCAGGGGCTCCGGCACGTGGGCCGCCTTCTGCTGCTCCCCAGGCGCATTGGCTGGGAAGGCATGGAGCCAGGGTTCACACACGCACTGCCACAGGGCAGGCCGCTGTCCCCAGGTGCAGCTTAGCCTGGGCACCGGAACCCCCAACCCCAGCCGGGGTCCGAGCGCTGTGCTGGGTGCCTGCCCAGGAGAGCAGGGAGCACAGGTTCCTGGCATGGCGGAAGCCACGAGGCACAGACGCCGTCACTCTGGAACCCTGTCTCCCATCCCCGGCCTTCCCCTCACCTCCCATGGGTGGCTGGCCAAGGGTGCGGCAGAGGATGGCTTTGAGGTCTGTGACCAGAGAACACCAGGGGTGGGCGTGCGATCCGGACCCCGTGGGCTGACGTGTCCGAGGATCCAGGATCTGGCCGAGGAGCGGACGGCAGGTTCCCACCAGTGAGAGGTGGAGATGGGGGGAGTGGCGGGCCCTGGGGCGCCTCCCAGGCCCTGGCTGGGACCCTCAGGCTGGGAGGAGCCGCAGCCGAGGGACGTGAAGTTCTCTGTGAGATGTGAGGTCTGGCAGGAGAGCTCTGGAGAGGAAGACGGGGCCTTGCTGGCACAGGGGGCGCGCGAGGAAGAAGTGGGGACGGGGAAGGGGTCCAGCCCCCAGCAGCAGAGGACCCGAGGGTCTGGGAGGGCCGCCCGCCGGCCTGCCTGTCTGGGGCGCTGTCGGTCACCCACATGAGGTGGCCAGGTGGCTGGGGCCCCAGCAGGGAGGGGTTCCAGGCCTCCCCTCCCCCCCAGTCCGTCTCCTGAGGCCCCGCCTCCACCCCACCTTTGCCCTCTGACTCTGCCTCCTCTCAGCGTGCCCCAGGCTGCTGTGTGACTGCACAGAGCTGTGCCCCCTCTGTGTGGATAGGGACCAACCCTACCTGTACCATGCGCACCTGCCACCTCCCCCAGCCCTCTGTGTTGAGGCTCAAGGCCCAAAGCAGACCCAGGGCCCTCAGACTGCCCCACCTGCCACTTGGCCTTGTGGGAGCAGGTGGTGCCTCCCAGCACCGCCAGGGCACCCAGGCTCCTCCCCTGCCGTCTTGCTCATGTGATGGGCAGCCCCGACACCTGCACGCAGCTGGCCCTCTGGTGGCCCTGGGCACGCCGCGGAGGTCAGATCTCAGGGGCCCAGTCCTCCCCACGGCTCCACCTGTCCCAGAGCCCTTCACGCGCACCGCCCCTGTCCTGGCTTGTGGAGC